TATGGGATGTTCTCAATAAGTCAGTAGTCAAGTAGTAGACAGATCAGTCACGTCACATTGATTTGTTGTTGCAGCAAGTCTGGGGAGCTTGAATAAAGTCAAGAGTGTCTGAATGAAGTCAAAAAACTATATTTAAAACGATTAAAAACAAACAAACAAGAAAGTTACAGGCCCCCAAATACTAAATTAACTATAGAATGCAGCAGAAATGAGACCTAAAACAAGGAAACCCGTTGTAGGCCTGAAATAAACTCTGTGGTTAACACAAGCTCAAGATTTTTTCACATTTTATTCTACAGCATAAAATCCATCAGTAATGCCATACTTGGGTTTGTTTTTTAAAACTCACTTGAACTCTAAGGGTCTTAAAGGCCAGGGTTTTTTTTTTGTTATGCTGGTTGAGAGGCGTGGCTTTGGAGAGTGATTTGCAGGGAGGGTGGGATCTTATGCTTTCAAAGCCTCTCTGAAATCGCCTACACTACCTTTAAAAAAGGCGGTTGCTAACAATTTGCTAAATGGGACTACAGAGGCTTTTGCTGGCATTAAACTTCAGGAAACCTCATCTACTAGTTTGCCTCACAGCCTCATTGCGTTTATATTCATGCTCTTGCAGTCTAACTCAAACTTTTAGATTTGAAATAAAGAGTTGGAAACTTAGTGGTGGTGACATTGAAGTCATGCGGCTGCGGTATATTTCTTTTTAGCCTGTAATCTTAGCTTTTTTACATCTGCCAATTGCATTTAGACTTCAATTCTCATAAAAGTTGGGTTAATTAGTGAAGATTGTCATAATGAACAATATAGATGCACCGGTCGACTAGCCATAAATAGTGGCTGGACGTGTTTTTTTATTTTATGTTGGCTGATATCTGTTCATGAAAAATCATGATTGGCGCATCCCTAATGAACAAAATATATAAGAATCACAAACTTGTTGGTCACAAAGGTTATTTTTTTGCGGTAATCAAAAAAGTCAGTAAAATCTGTTTTATTTTTATATAAGGAAACCAGTGTGATGCTAACTTCTGTATTTTCAACAGCAAAATGTTGTCCTTGTAGCACTCTGTTGTACTATTCTATAAAACATATCACATTCGTATCAAAAACCTGTAAATATGAGAAAATGTTAAAATTGTGATTTCTAGGCTTGGAAAAAATCTTACAAGGTCATTGAAAAGTCAGGAACAAATTCTACGAGTAAATAGTTTTTATAATTATGCTCATCTGTAAAATGTTTAATGAGCTAGAAATTGCTATTTGTGAGTAAAATCTAATAGATACTTTTACAAGTGTTGGTAACATTTTATGTCCTTGTCTTTATTTATGTGGTGAAAAGCTGTGTAATTAGTGATAGGACTGTACTTTATGCATTAAATGTCTGTCTTGTCTGAAGCCTCAAATCCGTTTTTAGGAGCTTTTTTTCTTTGCAGAAGCTTTGCTTTAAAGAGCAAATAAAATACTGAAACTCAAATCAATATTTTGTGTCTAATCATTTACTTATGTGGCAAGTAGCCATGTAATAAGTGGTATAATGTACATCCAGTACTTCCATCCTCCACTTCGCGTCAGTGTTTATTCTGTGATAACAAATGGCTGGATGTACATTATCCATTACTTTAAACATAATAACCTCTGCATCTGTGGACCATAACGATGGCCAGTCATCAACATGTGTTTAAGAAGTCAAAAATTCAGTTCTGTTTTGCTGTCTTGTTGGCTGCTCTTTTTAAACAAATAGAGGACGAGCAGTTTCCTTTATTGCTTTTCTCTCTCTCCCTCTCAATCATTTAGTTTGTCAAGTGTGGCTATGCCGGATCCAACTTCCCAGAACACATCTTCCCAGCACTGGTGGGCAGGCCCATCATCCGATCCACAGCTAAAGTGGGAAACATTGAGATTAAGGTGAGCTCCACACTCACACTCTACCTTCCACCCGGTCAAATGATCCATTTGGAGTTTGTTGTGGCATTTTCTGAATAACGGTAGGTAATACTCTAAATCAGGGCTGTCCAAACTCGGTCCTGGAGGGCCGGTGTCCTGCAGAGTTTAGCTCCAACTTGCCTCAACACACCTGCCTTCAAGTTTCTAGTATGCCTAGTAAGAGCTTGATTAGCTGCTTCAGGTGTGTTTAATTGGGGTTGGATCTAAACTCTTCAGGACACCGGCCCTCCAGGACCGAGTTTGGGCACCCCTGCTCTAAATTGATGGGTTCTCAAAGTTCATTTTTGAAACGTATTTAGCTTAGCTGTTTTAAAGTATGCCTTGATTCTCTCCTGTTTGTCCTTTTTATACTTACACTCTTTCCTTCTTGTTCTTCACATGATCAAGTAGAATAACAAAAAAATGGTAAGTGCAGCCTGACGTGTGTTTTGTTTAACACTGACCGCCTGCTGAGGAGAGTGTATTGCACCATGCAGTATTTCAGTGGTGTCCTATTATTGAGCTTTGATTTCTTTTATTTTGTAGATTATCTCATTCCTTATAATCAGGGCTGGGTGATATGGTTAAAAGTGTATGATATATATATATTATACACACACACACACACACACACACAATATTCAATATATGCATATAATTCTATTAATGCATTTGCTCTAAAATGGCTTAAAAGGGTTTGTTCTTTTATTGTCTCTCAGTAACAGGAGCATCATTTTAACCAAACATCTGTTGTAGCAGCTGAATTCAGACTGTTTAATACAAGAAGTAAAATATTAATGCAGTTAAAAAATAATCAAGGCATGTTATCCACTAAATGAACACAAGGAGAATGTATTTGTTTGTTTGTTTATGCATCATACAATGCAATAACATAAACATAATGTAATATTTACTTAAAACATATTTTTATTAAAGCATTTTAATGTATGTAAAATGCCACCGGGAAGCAAAACATTTTGAATCGGTTCACTAATTTGGACAGAATCAATCTAATCAACTCAAATACAGCTTTTTTTCTTAACCCTTTGAAGGGCAAGACCATAAAGAGACATCAGAAAATGTATATATTGCTAACACACACACACACAATATTCAATATATGCATATAATTCTATTAATGCATTTGCTCTAAAATGGCTTAAAAGGGTTTGTTCTTTTATTGTCTCTCAGTAACAGGAGCATCATTTTAACCAAACATCTGTTGTAGCAGCTGAATTCAGACTGTTTAATGCAAGAAGTAAAATATTAATGCAGTTAAAAAATAATCAAGGCATGTTATCCACTAAATGAACACAAGGAGAATGTATTTGTTTGTTTGTTTATGCATCATACAATGCAATAACATAAACATAATGTAATATTTACTTAAAACATATTTTTATTAAAGCATTTTAATGTATGTAAAATGCCACCGGGAAGCAAAACATTTTGAATCGGTTCACTAATTTGGACAGAATCAATCTAATCAACTCAAATACAGCTTTTTTTCTTAACCCTTTGAAGGGCAAGACCATAAAGAGACATCAGAAAATGTATATATTGCTATTTTCCATCTTATTGGGACTCAAATAATAAAATGTTATGATTTTGTTCAAAACTCGATTCTTATTTTTGATTTTAATGCATGGGTCCCCCAGGATACGTTGCCACTTTGGAGATATGAATTCACTGAAAACAGAACACCAGTTTATCAATGCTTGTTACAACATTTTTAACAAATTCCAAAGTTGCTATAAAATCAAAGCCATATGTCTAACGAAGTTATGTTCCAAATTTGAAAAATGTGGTTCCTGTGAGATTTTGTTTGGGCACTGTACCAAAAATAACCACTGGGTTACGCCCAAACTCTAGATTCTTTTTTTTTTTTGATGCAGTTTTCTGTCACAATATCACTTCTATAACAAAACTCAAACTCAATCACCAAATATCTTGACTGTCGTGACTGTCAGACCTTTCCAACGATATGCGTTTTGTCAAGATTACAGAAAGATTAGATTTTCTAAAACACAAGCCACAAAATCTCAGAGTCTATATATATGTTTTATACCTTGATTTTATACCCCTAAAAGGGTGACGTATCCCCTGAGATACAAACATTTCGAGACCGATTACAAAAAATGTAAGCATTTAATTCATTAAATTTCACTGTAAACCTAATAATAAACTACGAGTGGCCATGCAGTTTTAAATGCTGCCCTTGAGCTAAACAAAGAATGTATGAACAAAGTCAATATATCTAAATATTCTAAACAAACACCCTTTCAATATGAAACCAAGAAATGAGACCTACACTTTCCCTGCCTCTCCCCACAGCCTCTCAAATGTTTGTATCCCCCAGGATACGTCGCTAGTTAAAGGGTTACGTTTAAACAATAAAATATATTGTTAGTGCCTGATATTATCGCCCAGCCCTACTTCTAATTTCAGTTGTATTTCTTCTTCTGTTTGTGTATTGATTTAAGTAAATTGCCATGGGGAATGAATCAGACTTTCTCACTAATATTTAGTTTTTGGTTTTTTTGTTTGGTCTTGCTTAATTTGTTTTCAAACTCCAATATTCACCACAGTGCATTGCTCAAAGTGCTCTTACGCTGCACTTTGTCTTCTGTTTCAAAGCTGCAAATGTCTTTCACAGAGCTTGGCAACTATTCAGATCCCCACCAGACATTGTAGCTTAATTTTCTCCTCCTCCTCCGGTCCGAAATAGATTTAGCAGAAGTTGGCCTTAAGATGCAGGGAAATGTTGATGTCTCTGCGCTTTGTGTAGCTGCCCGTCATCCTGTCTGTTCAATGTCCTTTGGCCTCTATAATGTTTGAGGAACTAGAACAACACCACTGTGCTCTAAATAGATTCTGATGTGTCATAAAAGCTGCTTTGGTGTTCACAAGATATTGTTTCACACACTGAGCTCCTTTCAAAACTCTTTTCGACAGACATGTGCAGCAGAAATGTTGACAAAGGGAAATCTTTTTGAATTGGGCTAATAGGGGTCTAGTGTTATTGTAGTGATTTCTCTTAATGTTTCTTAAGTTAATTTGTCTTTGTGTTTATCCCACTGTCCTTTAGGTCATGTTTGAGACATACCAGTTTGCAGGCGTTTACATCGCTATCCAGGCTGTTCTGACGCTTTATGCTCAAGGCGAGTTATCCTCTGCACTGTTTAACCTCAACATGTTGAGTTGGCAAGCATTTTATTGTACCTACAGTAGTGTGTCAACTATCAGTGTGTCGCTTATTTCAGACATTGTATCAATATGTGTGTGTTGTGCTACACGCAGGCCTGTTGACAGGGGTGGTGGTGGATTCAGGCGATGGAGTCACCCACATTTGTCCTGTTTATGAGGGCTTCTCTCTGCCCCATCTTACAAGGAGACTGGACATTGCGGGACGGGACATTACACGCTATCTCATTAAGGTACACAATATTTCAGTTTACATGCTTCGGCGTCTTGTTTAAAATAATGTTATTGTTAAGTATCTAATTTAACTTTTGATTTCCTCATTTGACACGTCAGAGCTTAGATGTCCCGCATTACCCTAAATTGCCCTATTTACACATTAAAGCAAACCTTTTGTATTATTCTGTCCTAGAGGCCATTCAAACGTTTAAAATTGCGAAATGCAGGGTCGTGGAATGGAAAACAAAACAAAAAACGCATGGTTTAGGGGCCGTTTACACGACGTTTTCAGCCAAAAACGGGAAACTTTTTATGCGTTTTGCCTGTTTGTTTACATGACAACGGCGTTTTGGGGACTGAAAGCTTTTGAAAACACCACCGTTATCATTTCCGTGTAAACACCCAAAACGGGAATCTTTGAAAACGGTGACGTCATGCGCATGCACAGTACGTGTTAGGTATGTAGACATTCGCAGTACGTGTCGATTTTAAAGGCAAGCGAGAACAAACATACACAACAATGGCGGAGTACATGGTACTGTTGTTCAAGAGTTTGCTAACGCTTCTTCAGCAAAGTGTGGATTTACTTCACCAATATTACAACCAACATCGGAGGATAGGATGTTTTCATTACAACCAATATTACGTCACATACATCATGTAATCGTCACTTCCCTACAGGTACTGTTTACTAACATGGTGACAGCGCCAACTACTGGCCTGGCATACGTAATACAGCGGTTTTGGCCATTTCGCGGATATGTGTAAACGCAAATCGTTTTGAAAACGTTGTCGTGTATACGTGAAACTTTTTAAAAACGCAAGGGAAAAACATTTCCGTTTTTGACTACATCGTTGTCGTGTAAACGTAGCCTAAGAGACATGCTTTTTAAGAGCTTAAAGGGATAGGTCACCCAAAAATGAAATCTCTGTCATTGTTTCCTCACCTTCAAGTCATTTCAAACCTATTTGCATTTCTTTCTTCCGCACAACATGAATAAAGATATTTGGAAGAATGTTGGTAACCAAACAACGTATGGACAAAAAAATTAATAAATACAAGAAGTCAGTGGGAACCGAAACTGTTGGCATCATTCTTCAAAATGTCTACTTTCATGTTCCACAGAGGAAAGAAAGTCATATAGGAATTGACCTGAGGGTTTTGGAATGTCATGAGGGTGAGCAAATGGTGCTTGAATTTTCATTTTTGCATGAACTATCCCTTTAACTTATTTTTAACTGGAGCCCTGCATTTTTAGAATGCTGTGTCATGCGCGAGAAGCTGCAAACGATGCTATACATGAGTACAAGACTGAAACACATTGGTCTGTTTATGCAGAAAAACTATGGCAAAGCAGTGCAGTGGAATGAAAAAGTGCAGTCTGTTTCAACCGCCCTTTAGACTATAATTGTGGCTTGTCACCTAAAAAGCGTTTTCCATACTTTCTGTCGCACAGGGACAAAATTGGATTGTTGAGTAAAAAAAGTATATCAGTATATAAGTCACATTTTATTAATGCATTCAGAAATAATGTAAAATATTGATAAATAAAACTTTACAAATATAAACATTATAGTGGCATTCATTATAAACAACATTTATTAAAAACGCCACACCTATAAACAAATAAGTTTTAATGCAAAACTGAAACAGCGTAGGGCTAACTTACAGCTTGCAATATTTGAAGCCATGAACACAAGACAAAGAGAAAATCACTCACTGCTCTTACCCAAATAACTTAATGACAATCTTCTATTCAAACTATACAGCATGTAACAGTGATGGATGGTATGAGTAATTCTGCCAATGAATAACAGTGTTAATTACACTTTATGTAATTATTTATTTCTGACAATTCAACCCCAAAATCAGTGCAATAACAGCTGTTTTATTTTAACACTTCACACCAGACATGAGCAGCAGAAATGTTGACAAAGGGAAATCTTTTTGAATTGGGCTAATAGTTGTCTAGTGTTATTGTAGTGATTTATTTTAATGTTTCTTAAGTTCATTTGTCTTTGTGTTTATCCCACTGTCCTTTAGGTCATGTTTGAGACATACCAGTTTGCAGGCGTTTACATCGCTATCCAGGCTGTTCTGACGCTTTATGCTCAAGGCGAGTTATCCTCTGCACTGTTTAACCTCAACATGTTGAGTTGGCAAGCATTTTATTGTACCTACAGTAGTGTCAACTATCAGTGTGTCGCTTATTTCAGACATTGTATCAATATGTGTGTGTTGTGCTACACGCAGGCCTGTTGACAGGGGTGGTGGTGGATTCAGGCGATGGAGTCACCCACATTTGTCCTGTTTATGAGGGCTTCTCTCTGCCCCATCTTACAAGGAGACTGGACATTGCGGGACGGGACATTACACGCTATCTCATTAAGGTACACAATATTTCAGTTTACATGCTTCGGCGTCTTGTTTAAAATAATGTTATTGTTAAGTATCTAATTTAACTTTTGATTTCCTCATTTGACACGTCAGAGCTTAGATGTCCCGCATTACCCTAAATTGCCCTATTTACACATTAAAGCAAACCTTTTGTATTATTCTGTCCTAGAGGCCATTCAAACGTTTAAAATTGCGAAATGCAGGGTCGTGGAATGGAAAACAAAACAAAAAACGCATGGTTTAGGGGCCGTTTACACGACGTTTTCAGCCAAAAACGGGAAACTTTTTATGCGTTTTGCCTGTTTGTTTACATGACAACGGCGTTTTGGGGACTGAAAGCTTTTGAAAACACCACCGTTATCATTTCCGTGTAAACACCCAAAACGGGAATCTTTGAAAACGGTGACGTCATGCGCATGCACAGTACGTGTTAGGTATGTAGACATTCGCAGTACGTGTCGATTTTAAAGGCAAGCGAGAACAAACATACACAACAATGGCGGAGTACATGGTACTGTTGTTCAAGAGTTTGCTAACGCTTCTTCAGCAAAGTGTGGATTTACTTCACCAATATTACAACCAACATCGGAGGATAGGATGTTTTCATTACAACCAATATTACGTCACATACATCATGTAATCGTCACTTCCCTACAGGTACTGTTTACTAACATGGTGACAGCGCCAACTACTGGCCTGGCATACGTAATACAGCGGTTTTGGCCATTTCGCGGATATGTGTAAACGCAAATCGTTTTGAAAACGTTGTCGTGTATACGTGAAACTTTTTAAAAACGCAAGGGAAAAACATTTCCGTTTTTGACTACATCGTTGTCGTGTAAACGTAGCCTAAGAGACATGCTTTTTAAGAGCTTAAAGGGATAGGTCACCCAAAAATGAAATCTCTGTCATTGTTTCCTCACCTTCAAGTCATTTCAAACCTATTTGCATTTCTTTCTTCCGCACAACATGAATAAAGATATTTGGAAGAATGTTGGTAACCAAACAACGTATGGACAAAAAAATTAATAAATACAAGAAGTCAGTGGGAACCGAAACTGTTGGCATCATTCTTCAAAATGTCTACTTTCATGTTCCACAGAGGAAAGAAAGTCATATAGGAATTGACCTGAGGGTTTTGGAATGTCATGAGGGTGAGCAAATGGTGCTTGAATTTTCATTTTTGCATGAACTATCCCTTTAACTTATTTTTAACTGGAGCCCTGCATTTTTAGAATGCTGTGTCATGCGCGAGAAGCTGCAAACGATGCTATACATGAGTACAAGACTGAAACACATTGGTCTGTTTATGCAGAAAAACTATGGCAAAGCAGTGCAGTGGAATGAAAAAGTGCAGTCTGTTTCAACCGCCCTTTAGACTATAATTGTGGCTTGTCACCTAAAAAGCGTTTTCCATACTTTCTGTCGCACAGGGACAAAATTGGATTGTTGAGTAAAAAAAGTATATCAGTATATAAGTCACATTTTATTAATGCATTCAGAAATAATGTAAAATATTGATAAATAAAACTTTACAAATATAAACATTATAGTGGCATTCATTATAAACAACATTTATTAAAAACGCCACACCTATAAACAAATAAGTTTTAATGCAAAACTGAAACAGCGTAGGGCTAACTTACAGCTTGCAATATTTGAAGCCATGAACACAAGACAAAGAGAAAATCACTCACTGCTCTTACCCAAATAACTTTTGTAGCTTAAATAAGAATCAGTGCATATTGAATTCAAAGAGTAAATACTAAGCAGTGTTTTATTTTTCCTTTTTATTATTCAGTTCCTAAACTCATGCTCTTGGTACATGCGTACATACAAATAACCATATATATATATGACGCAAGATAGTTATAGAAGTTCACAGAACTGACTCTGCAACAGCTGAGTAAAACTGTTTCATCTGAGCATGTGGCACTTTAAGCATTATCGTATCGCATATCGAATATCGCATTATTTAATGAGTTATCGCATATCGCATTTAGTACCTATCACTCGGCATGCTCCATATGTTTCCATTTTCATGATGTAGTCTAACATTTGGTTGCTAAACTATTATTTATTATGTTAACAAGCTTTGTACTTCACTTGTGTCCCAATTTCACAGTAAAACAGCATCCTTCGCTTGCACACATGTTTGGAATAACACCACGGCGGTACGGTGGTCACGCTGACCGACACAGCCCTACAAACAACATACAATTTAAACGAGATGTGTAACTTTTGGTATGTTTGGTTGACTGCGATTTTAGTGTTATGATGAATAGGCTACGATGCCAAGTTAGCAGTGCTGGAACTGATATTTCTCGTGTGGGCTTTGTCCAGGTTTTGCATGCTTGACATTAAACGCATTATATAAGTCAATTTGGAATATAAGTCACAGCATGTTTCAGATGTTAAAGAAGTTTTAAAAGGTTGCATTGGGTCAAAAATGCATTACTGAGGAAAAAACAGATAAATTGCATTGGTGTATTGAGTCACATTTTGTTATAACATTCAGAAATCATTAGTGCTGTCAAACGATTAATCGCATCCAAAATAAAAGTTTTTGTTTGCATAATATATGTATGTGTACTGTGTATATTTATTATGTGTATATATAAATACACACACATACAGTATATATATGGAAAACATTTAATGTATATACATTTATATATGCATATTCTTATATTTTATATTATATATAAATATATTTCATATTTTTCTTATATATATATATTTCTAATATATACATGCATGTGCTTGTATTTATATATACATAATAAATATACACAGTACACACACACATATTATGCAAACAAAAAAGATAATTTTGGATGAGATTAATCGCGATTAATCATTTGACAGCACTAGAAATTATGTAAAATACTGGTAAATAAAATGCAAAGCTAACGGACATTATAAACACAATAAACATGTATTTTAGTTCCCCTCACTTAAACAAATCCTTTAATTTGAACTCAAAACAGAAATGAAAAAAAAAAAAAAAGGTGAATTTATCAGTATTCAGAACAGGAATTAAAAATACTAAAGTATAAAATAAAATAAAAAGTATAAAACAAACAGAAATTGTTACATTCATTATAAACAACATTTAAAGCATGTCTGAAATTACCGCTTAGCTATACAAGGACACTTGGGCTCATGTACCTCTCTCGTTCTGCACGCTTTGCGCATTTTTTGCGGGCTTAATGTTGATTGAATTATAGAAGTCACAGCGTGTTTCAGATGATAAAAACATGACATATTCTGTAAAATATGGTAAAATTTTAATCTTTTTTTTGTCACACAGTTGCTCTTGCTGCGAGGTTACGCCTTCAACCATTCGGCAGACTTCGAGACGGTACGCATGATGAAGGAGAAGCTCTGCTACGTGGGATACAACATCGAGCAGGAACAGAAGCTTGCTCTGGAGACCACTGTATTGGTGGAGTCCTACACGGTCAGTTTTATGTGATTTCACCAACCGTTTTAACGCAAGCTTGCATTCTGAAAAGGTGTTAATGGCCTGCAGGGTGAAAGTGTCCTTTACACTTCAGATGTTACAGTATGTGAGGCAGAAGTTTTTCTGGCTGGGGTTTTTAGTATGTGGTTTCACAGATTTCCCGCTGGGATGCAGAAGTGTTCTGCATTTCCATGGTAATACGCTCTTTGGATTGGATTTAGCAGCAGGGAAATTCTTCAGTCTACACTTGGACATCCTGTCTGTGAGACGCCACACTCTGCTGGATTCGGATTGGCTGCTGGATGTGTGATTAAACAGAGCGGCCTCAAGGGGGCAGCGGTTGCCGACAAGTTGTTCAGAGTTTTACTCGTCACACACACTGTGCAAAGCTCCTTCTTTACTTTGAGCTTGTAGGTATGGGTGTGGTGTTTTTCTTTTGATTTCCTTTTTAAACGTTTTCTTTTAGAGGACGTAAAAAAAAAAGACAGAATCAAATGAGCAAGTTTTGAAACAAGGAAAGCTGTGTGACGTCGGAGTTGCTTAACCAGCATGTAACAATTTCCTGCGTGGCCACAGTCCTTCCTCAGCTGGGAAGCTCTGCATTTCCGACCTCTGGACATCTTCAATGGGCTCTTTATATGCTCCCACGCACCCGTCGCTATTTTCTCATTAGTCATCAGGGTTATGCTCGGCTGTGGGTGAACCTTCAGACATCAGACTTTGCTCAGTGCAGCCAGTCTTACAGGAACATCTCATGATCAAGGTCAATTTGAAGTAGTGAAGCATGTGATAAGAAACCAGCCGAATGTTGACACGAGGTGTGGTTATTTACCACAGTAATTATCAGCCAGGTTGCTTATCATAAATCATAAATACTTGCTGAGGTCCTGTTGCCACTGTAGACGGTTTAATAATGCAAGTCACAAATCACTTCTTTAAAAAGAAATGAATACTTTTATTCAGCAAGGATGCATTAAATAAATCAAATGTGGCAGTAAATAATTTATATTATGTTACAATAGGTTTTCAGTTTAAAAAAATGTTTTTAATTCACCAGAGAATTCTATATACACCACAGTTTCCACAAAAATATTAAGCAGCATAACAGTTTTCAACACTGATAATAGTAAAGAAATGAAGACTGTAAAGACTTTTACATCGTTCAAATAAATGCTTTTTATTACTGTTTTCGCAAAGAACTCTGAAAAAAGGATCACAGTTTACATAAAATGTTTTAAACATGGATCATGTGACACTGAAGACTGCAGTAATGATGCTGCAAATTCAGCTTTGCATCACAGAAATACATTATATTTTAACATATATTCACAGAAAACGGTTATTTTAAATAATAATTCTATTTTACAACATTACTGTTTTTACTGCATTTTTGATCAAATAAATGCAGCCTTGGTGAGCATAAGAGACTCATTTATATTTATATTTTATAAAAAGAATCATGCAGTTTTGGAACAACATGAAAGTTGAATGAATTACATTTTTGGTGATTTCTTTAAGAAAAAAATTGATATCTAATATTGTTCATTTATATGCCAAATATAACAATGCCTGGTAATAAACATCAATGTTTACTAAAAAGTACTATGAATTTATGAATTCTAACACTGACTTTGCAGAATTTAATACTCAATTGAATTTGGAGATGCAAAAAAAGCAGTGGATGGGAAATCTAGTCTAATGACGTCTTTAGGGAAGTAGACATTTTATATCAGCAGCAAAAGCATCACAATTATATTGTGGATTTTGATGTATTGGCAACCCTGTTTAACTGTTCAGTAAAACTCTTTATATCTATGAATTGGCAGGGTGACTGATTTAAAGCCTTAAAAGTTGTTATATTCTCTCTTCTCCAGCTCCCTGATGGCCGGGTTATTAAGGTAGGAGGAGAGCGGTTCGAGGCCCCAGAAGCTCTCTTCCAGCCCCACCTCATTAATGTGGAAGGGGTCGGAGTGGCTGAGCTTCTCTTCAACACCATTCAAGCAGCAGACATTGACACCAGGTGCGTTCTAATTCCACACCTGATAGGATCCTCCCTCCAGTATACACTACATTACGTTATGTCTCATTATGTGACACTAAAATAAACAGTCCATCATGTAAAGATCGTCTTGTCACTTCAGTAACTTCACCGTTTACTCCTCCAGTAGCTCACTGTGTGTTCTTATCTGTGCTTGCCTTCCCTCTGTCCCTCAGGGCCGAGTTCTATAAGCACATTGTTCTGTCAGGAGGATCCACCATGTACCCTGGTCTGCCCTCTCGACTAGAGAGGGAACTTAAACAGCTTTATCTAGAGCGGGTACTGAAGGGAGATGTTGACAAGCTCTCGGTAAGTTTTCCAGTGCTGCGCACGTGTAAGCGTGCCATCCAGCAGACAAAATTTGCCAATTTGCATCTAAGGTTTATCATCAACTTCGTAAGTAGGGCTGTGTGATATAGTGATTACTGATTTAGCAACATTGTGAAGTGCCAAAGAGTCAGTTTAAATCAGTGTACAGATGGGTTACTTATAGTTGACTGTAGTTGTTTTTTTAAAAAGTGTGTATTTTTAAGTATCATATTTGATATGTCAGGCTTTTATGGCTCAAATAATCTTACTAATGAGAATATGGAGCTCATACTCAAGGAGGAAAAAACAGAGGCCTAAATTGAGCAAAAAATATGCTATTTAGTGGAGTTGCTGGTGGCCAAAAAGTAAGAACTTGACAAGATATCTTGTCATGTAAATCAATGATATCTTTATAGCAGATACTTACATAAAATGCATATAAAGGTCAGTTTTCTCTCTATATCTCTGAATATTATGTTGTTGTATGATGATATTAAAATGCTTAGTTTTATGATCAAAACTCTATAGTTTTTATTGTTGGGCAAAACATATAATGCAACGCAATACAATGAGGATTGAGAAATGAACACACAGACATTCTTCAAAAGCCTGAAGATCATATTTGATACTCAAATTTTTATGTAGTTTTTTTAAATGCAAGTAATGTACAGGTGCATCTCAATAAATTAGAATGTCGTGGAAAAGTTCATTTATTTCAGTAATTCAACTCAAATTGTGAAACTCGTGTATTAAATAAATTCAGTGCACACAGACTGAAGTAGTTTAAGTCTTTGGTTCTTTTAATTGTGATGATTTTGGCTCACATTTAACAAAAACCCACCAATTCACTATCTCAACAAATTAGAATACTTCATAAGACCAATAAAAAAACATTTTTAGTGAATTGTTGGCCTTCTGGAAAGTATGTTCATTTACTGTACATGTACTCAATACTTGGTAGGGGCTCATTTTGCATGAATTACTGCATCAATGCGACGTGGCATGGAGGCTTTTATTAGTACTTATAAAGCACTTATTCTTTATGACCATATTTTAGATCCCTTAATCCACCCCACACCTAAACTTAACAACTTCCTTACTAACTATTAATAAGCAGCAAATTACTGAGACTGAAAGCATGTAGTAGATTACAGATTTTTCAGCAATGTTTTAGAGGCCTTTTGCTTATCAAATATGATGCAGAAGGCTTTGTAGGGTTAAGCTGGGATAGAAGAAAGTATTTTAACTTCAAAGACGCTCAGATGTGTCGTAATGCCTCCTGTGCACCAGCAGGTGGCGCTGCATCACCTTGCCTCTAAACGGCCTCGGTTACACACAACGCCCCAGACTGCCCAGCTGAGCTCCATCTCATTTAAAACCTGGCCATTGGCCTGGAAAAGCATTTTGGGGAGCCTCAGAGTGGGCCGCATGTCGGGCCACTATATATAGATGATCAATTACAGATGCACGATACGGCCGAGCGGCGTGTCTGTCTGCCTATGCCCAAACTGCGTTCAAGGCAAATTAAAAAGCAATCGACTTTACACGAGACCCTTTCAGCCACCTCTTTATAACCCGTTCAGGGTCTGAGAGCAGATGTACACCGAACACGGGCTCCGCATACGTTGTTCACCTCATTATTCTCCCATTTGGGTTTGCCGCTCGATTCCCAACCAGACAGTGTGCTTTTTATGTGTATTAAAGAGATCCATTCAGAGTGTTTTCTGGTATGTGGGTCAGTGTCCGTTCTGTTCCACTCCCCTGAAATTCTGGTCACGCTGTCTATTTAATACCCCCATAGAAATTCAAGATCCGCATCGAGGACCCTCCCCGCCGCAAGCACATGGTGTTTCTGGGTGGGGCGGTGCTGGCTGACATCATGAAAGACAAGGACAACTTCTGGCTGACGCGGGAGGAGTATCAGGAAAAGGGCGTGCGCGTTCTGGAGAAGCTCGGCGTCACCGTCAGATAAACACGGCCCAGCATTAGTGGCGATCGGGTCATTCCTGCTTTGCAGTTCATTTTCTTGTCTTCTTATAATGTAGGTTATAAATATAATTGATATAATTAATATATACTACCATTCAAAAGTTTGGGGTCGCTAAATATTTTTGAAATAAAATATTTTTGGCTCTCCAAGGCTGCAGTTATTTGATTAAAAATAACAGTAATATTGTGAAGTATTAAGCCAATTTTAAGATAACTGTTTTTGGTTTTAATATATTTTAAATGTAATCTATTCATGTGATGCAAAGCTATATTTGCACCTTCATTAGTCCAGTCTTCAGTGTCACATGTTCCTTCAGAAATCATTTTAATATGCTGATTTGCTACTCAAGAAACATTTCTGATTATCATCAATGTTGAAAACGGTTGTTTTTAATAATTTAATGCCGTTTCATATTTTTGTGGAGACCATTATAATTTTTTTTGAAGAAGAGTATTTATTTGAAATAATATAATTTTTGTTATGTTAAAGGCTTTACTGTCACTTTTGATTAATTGAATGCATCCTACAGTATATATTAATGAATTTGTATTCATTTCAAACAGTCTTACAAACTTCTGAACGGTAGTATAAGAAATTATAAATGTATGTCTAAATGAATAAAATTCAACTTTCAGTTTTTAACAATGAAAATCATATTCATTTAATTTTTTTGTAGTATCAGGATTAAGTGAACATGGATGTTTTCAATCATTTCACCACTTTTAACCATTAAATCAGAAGTTACTGTTTTTATCTTGTACCCGAGTGCTGCACTTTTGGCATAGGAAAGCTTATTAAGAACTATTCCATGTGTGTGTGTTTTTTTTTTTTTTTTACTAAACATTTTATTGTATTTTCCATACTTTTAGTCTACAATATCCCTTGAATAACAAAAGGCCAGTTCCTCACAGACATCATCCACATACAGCAGCACAAGCAATATTAGCAAAGAATTTTATGAATTCTGTAATGTTTTTGTAATTTGTGGCTTATAACACCCTGAAACATTTCAACTGTTTGAATTACAGAAAATTACATAAATCATATGATCTGATCAAACACACACAATTAATTAATAAACAATCCGTGTCTGAGCAATGGTTAACTTTAGCTCTTTCTTTTCAACCTGCTTCTTGTTTATGTCCTGTCATTTGTCTAAATAATTCATTTTTAGTGAATGAAGTTTGCCTGAATTCTGAAATTACTTTTCCAGAAACACGACTGCATTACTGCCAGTACTGCATGACAGAAATGACCCAATCGGTGATGAGCAATATTTAACACCAAAGCTTACAAACGGTTATGACAGGCACCATCATCACGTCTGTATTACTGCTAAGACTCTTATCAGCTGTAATGTTCACGACGGGATGTGTTGTACTGTATGTCAGTCCGGTGACAGAGACACAAACGTGTTCTCTTCGGTGTGTAATGTAAGGGCAGAATCAAAATGCGTTTTTTCCCCAGAGGAAATAGCTGTTCTCTGCCAGTGTTACGACAACTGAAACTGAGCAACCAAAACTTATTACAGTTATTTTGATTCCAATGTGGTCATGGAGCTTTAGCCCTGTAGCTGAGGGAAGCCTTTCTTCTGTTTCTGTCTGTCCCCTTTCCCTGTCAGTGTGTCATGTACTTGTCCAGAATAACAAGAGGGGCTCACGTTACTCATAAGTGTTTTTTTTTGAGAGTTTGGACTGAGAGTCTGTGGGATTTTTACTAATGTATTTATCAAGCAGGCCAGTCTTCTGTAGGTCTGCCTTTGAAACATTTCAACATACTGTTTCAGCAAGACGTTTTATGTTGCTTATATATCAAAAATATATATTAAGAAGATGGGATTTGTTTTAATTCTATTAGTCCCTTTGTTACTGTAAGTATTGTTGTTGTTTTTTGTTTTTTTTACTTATGAATTTTCTCTTGAAGTGCTGTGTCTGGCATAGACAATAATAATAATAAAAAATATTCTGCAATATCAATCAGACAGTTGCTTTTATTTGACTAATTTGATAATAAGGGATGCTGTTTTATGTAACTGAGAAAGTAAATCAGATATAGATCATATTGTTTGGGACCGATTGTTTATGGACATTCAGAAAGTACATAACAAAAACACTGATAATTGAGTTTTCTGCCTCTAATTGTCTCATGACATATTTGTCAGTTATTATTTTAAATATATTCTTATCCAGTGCCAAGCACAATTTATGTAGGTGGATCTTTTCTCTCTCTCTCTCTCTCTCTCTCTTTTGGATCAGAACATAACTGCTGAATGCTGATTTGTATTTATTTATTTAGCTGTGATTCGTTCTTTTTATTACCCCAGTGCATACTCAAATCCAAAAAGTGGACAGTTTAACTTTCTGTAAATGTTTTACCCCTTTTCCGGTGATCAAACATTTTCCGGAGCCGCCAATGAGTGCTTGGGACTGTCAGTGGTGAAATGTCACATGATCATGAGGCAGGCATCACAATGGTGTTCTTATCTTTAAAGTATGACTGAAATCGGTGTAATTGTTGATCGTGATAACCAAGGTAGTTAACTATTGTCAAGTGTTTTAAGCTTCGAAGTGTATGTGGCCTGAAAAAGCACCTTCCTGATTACTCTATGGCATCAGATAATTTGCTAAGATTTCCAAATGGTGCTTATTGGCCAATACCAGCAGCTCTCTCTGTAAGTCCTTGTGTAGTGTGTAGTATAAAGTGATTTAATGAAGAATGCTTTAACGGAGCCCTGATTTAAAGTGATCAGTAAGGAATTTGGACTGTCACTGGTGAACGTAGCACTCAGTTCTCAAAATGCCTCTCTAGTCCCTTGATCAAAGCATGTCGAATCCACAGCTTTCCCTCCGAATCAGAAGTTACACAGATAAGGAGTCTGCGCTGTCCACCTTTGACCCTGATTGCACTTTTCGGAGGAAGTGATGCACTAAAGTAGCACTTAAAAAGCCTTTGTTGTTGTGTAATGTTAGACATCACTTCTCACATAAGATGGACAAAACAAAACAAAAAACATAAAAAAGATGCATTTTCCCCCCACAGCTGTGCCAACAAAGGCGAATTCAGAAATACCTCAAATACTGAATTTAGAAATGTGTGGAATCATAAGTCATGGATAATGACCAGTTTATGTACGTTTTTGCTATAACTACACTGTAAAAAAAAATCCGTAAAATTTACGGTAAAAAACCGACAGCTGTGGTTGCCGGAATTTTACCGTAAAAAATACAGTAGCAATGTTTTAGGTTTTACGGTTTTAACTTAAATTTACAGTTAAATACTGTAATTTCATTAACTGATATAATGTTAATATACCAACCTATTGAAGTACTGAAATCTGTTTTGTAGCTTTGTAATACAAATAACCACCAAATGCAGGTGGTGATGAGAAAGTCACATGATGAACCAAAGCCCATCACAAGCAGCTTTTAAATAATAACATATATAGAAGGTGCACAGTGTCATTCACACAAACACTAAACACTATCATGGTAACACACATAAAACTGAAATAATGCAATAAACATTAATTTAACAACATTAGGTGTAACACACAACCCTAATATACAAAACTGATAAGAAAAAACTAAGAAGAAACATAGTTATTTCAACAAAAAAACATAAAATTTGAAATGTAACGCAGGGAATTCTGGGAATGTCAATTTACGGTTATTCACTGTAAATTATACGGTCTTTTTCACTTCCAAAAACGGTATACTACCGTAAAATTTATGTCCAATACATGTAATGTCAATACAGTTTTTCACCGTATATAGTAGGGGAATTTACCGTTAACCATTTAACAGGTTTTTACTGTAGCATTTTTACAGTCTTTTACCGTTAAATTCACGGTCATTTTTTACAGTGTAGCTGTGCATGGCTTATTTGAAGACATGTTTCGACAGTTCAATTATATTATTATCCATTCAGTAAAAGAAACACCAAAAGACACATGATTTTTCATTTCATGTTACATGATACACTGTTTTTATTCATTTTACTGAAGAACAAGTCCAAACACATCCATATCAAATTACAGAATTTATTGGGGTTCCAATTCCATTAAAAAAATAATAATTAAATAAAATAACAAAAAATAAAACCCTGAAAGAAAGTAAACCTTTCTAATTCCTAATCCTTAATGACAAAGTCATAAATACAATAAAACAGGGCTTATGTTTGCCAAATATATTCTTTTTTATATGAAATTCAATACAAGATTCCCAAAAATAATCTTAGAGTCTGTAGCGAATCAGCTCATGGGGAAATATGAATAATTAACCATAACTAGTTATAATTAACTATTCATATTTTAGATCCACTGTAGATATTTAGCTGACCTCTCAGGGTCAACTGTCTTGTCAATTCTAAGAACGTTAATTTCCTGGTTAAGGGAAATTACTTTCTTACTGTACAATTCTATAAGCTTGTAACGTAAATCTGCATGATTAGTGACTCCGGTTATGAGCAAACAATGAACATGTCAAGTGTGATACAAGTAAGGTTTTATTAACTACATAAACACTTAAACTAGTCTAACATACTACATACACACATAAACTGGTCTAACATCCTACATACACACATAAACTGGTCTAACATACACATACACACACACACACACATACAGTTGGTATAGGAAAGGGTTAAAGTTTAACTCAGCACAGAAAGAGGCATAAAGAATGAATTTCATGGAACACTTTGCATATTCAGCAGATCTACACCTGGGAAAACATCAGATTCTTAGTTCAAACACACCTTTGTAAAAAGGTGTAACTGATACTTAATGCATCAATTAAATCGACTAAGTTTGATACTTGCCAAGGTAAGATTACATTTAGTGAAAATGGATGATCAGGAATGGGTGCACTCACAAGCATACTAAAATAGTCTACAAATATCAAAGACAAAATACACAATGACAATAATATACCCAATGGCCTGAAGAATATGTGTGTTCATTCAAATAACGGTTTTCCTATGAATTAACT